GTCTTCCACAAATGTTTATTGAGTCCTTGCTATTTGCCAGGCGCATAGGAGAAAGGGGGGTAAGTTGGATGCTGATCCTGCACTCACCTTGGGAGTTGCTGAAGGGAGAGGATGGATTTACTGTACATGTGAGAGGAAGCACTTTTCTGCTTAAATACAGAACGCTCAGCATAATTTACTTTAAGAAGATAATTGAGGAATTTGCAAGCACCTTTCATTGAGTTGATGGAGACTTATGAGGCAGAGGGCTGTTACCTGCCTCATGGAAAGGACCTATATCTTTGGATGATGGTTGTACTATGAATCTACACTTGTCAAAACTTACCAGATTGAACCCATCGGATCTGTGCACATTCTCATTGCAAAGTACACTTGACTAAAAACAATTACATTACACAAAATGACGCAAAAGGAAACGAGATTGAAAATGGATATAGTAACATTACTTATTTCAGAAGCTATGTGTTCTTGTAAACATTGGAACCTGACACTGAGTCACTTCTACCTCTTTTGTATGAGAAAATACTGCCCAATTCTGCTTCATTCTCACTGCCATTGCCGTGCTTAAATCCATCGTTGCAATGCGTGTGTCACTCCATCTTTTTGAGGATCTTCCAGTTTTTCACTGACATTCTACTTTTCCAACCAATGTGTCTTTTCCCTGGGATTGTTGTTATTGTTAGGTGCCATCAAGTTTATTAAACCCATAGCAACCACAAGAACAACAGATCTGAACCTTGTCCTATCTTGCGCGAACCTCTTCATCTCTGATGTGGTCAAGTCCATTGTTACAATCATTGTGTTAATCCACCTTGTTGAGGGTCTTTCTCTGTTTCACTGACCTTTCCAAGCATAACATCCTTCTTCAAGGACTGGCCCCCTCCTAACAACATGCCCGAATATATGAGATGAAGCTTTACCAAACTTGCCTAGAAGGAGCACTCTGGCTGCACTTTCTCCAAAGCATATTCGTTTGTTCTCTTGGCAGTCTATAAGATTTTCCGTGCTCTTCTCCAACACCACAATTCAAAGCCATTGATTCTTCTTCTTCCATCCTTGGTCACTCTCCAACATTCAGATGCATAACAAGTAATTAAAAAGACCATGGCTTGAATCAGATGCACCTTAGCCTTTAAAACTGACATCATTGCTTCTTAATAAACCATAGAAAGGTCCTTGACAGTGGATTTAGCCAATGTGATAGGTGTTTTGATTGCCTGACTGCTGGTGCCAAGAGTGTCTATTGGTCCAAGCAAGGTGAAATCATTGACAACTTCAGTCTTTCATGATGTTGTCCAGCATCATGACCAGAAAAAACCTCAACAGCCTCTGTGTTAATGTTTGTTGTTAGGTGCCGTCAGAGAGCTCTGAATCTTAGTGACCCTCCACACAATAAATGAAACCCTGTCTGATGCTGCACCGTCCTCACAGGCTGCGTTGTTTTTAAGTCCACTCTTGCAGATACTGTATCAGTCCATCTTGTTGAAGATCTCCCTCCCCTTTGCTGACCATTAACTTTTCCACCTCTGATGCCTTTGCCAAGGACTGGCCTATCCTAATAACATGCCCAAAGTATGTGAGAAGTTTCACCCTCTGCTTCTATGGAGTCCTCTCCCTCTGCTTCTTCTAAGACAGATCTGTGTGTTCTTTTGGTTATGTCTGGTGAATATGCAATGTTCTTTGCCACCACCATGATTTAAATGCATCAGTTCTTCAGTCTTCCTTATTCACTGTCCAACTTCACATGCATATGGAGCAGTTCCATACATAATGGCTTTAATAAAGAGTCTGTAATCTCTAAAGTACTCAAGAGCAACAGTGTGTCTCTACAGACTAAGGTGCATCTGCTACAGGCCATGGTCTTTGCAATCACTTGTTATGCGTCAGAGAGCTGGACAATGACTAGGGAGGATAGAAGGAGAATTGATGCTTTTGAGCTTTGGTGTTGGAGAAGAGTATTGAGGGTACTATGGACTGCCAAGAAAACAAACAGATTCATCCTGGAGAGGGTTAAACCGGGCTACTCCTTGGAGGCAAGGATTCTGAGGCTTTGTCTGACATCCTTTGGTCATGCTGTAAGGAGGGACTGGTCCTTGGAGAGGGACATCATGCTTGGGAGGGTGGAGGGCAGGCGCAGCAGGGGAAGGCCCTCTGGGAGATGGATTGATTCGGTGATTGGGGCAATTGGGATGAGTGTGTCGGAGACAGTGCGATTGGAACAGGACAGAGCAGAGTTTAGAGCTGTTGTACTTAGGGTCGCTATGAGTCGCAAGCAACTTGACGGCACATAACAACAACAACAATCTTCAAATTAACACCCCTGCTCTTTGGTACTTTACAGAGGTCCTTGACAGCACATTGCTCAGTGAAACACTTATTTTGATTTGTTAACTGCTGCCACCCTGGGTACTGATTGTGGATCTTTGAGACAGCTTCAATCTTTTCTCTGCATGATGTTGTTTATTGTTTATTTTAGAAATTTGTTGTTGTTGTTGTTGTTTTGTTTTTATGTTGAAATGGGATTTCTCCTGAAGGCTATGGTCTTTTCTTCTTCAGTAAAGTCTTTCCTTTCAGCAGGCCAGGTTCATGTTGTTGCTAAGTCTTCCTCCAACCCTACAGCTCCATTCTTTTTTATATAGTCTGTATTCTCAGACTGTTTGCTCAGCACACACTCAGTTTAGGAATGGTGAGAGGATTCAGGCCTGCTGTATACCTTTCCCAGTTTTAAACCATGCCCTGTCTGCCTTGTTCTACTTGAATGACTTTGAGTACGGCGTTCATGCCCATCACACAGCATCCATGGCACAGTGTGCTGGGTATAGAATGCAAATTTAAAAGAGTTGAGTGGACGAGCGTTATGCTTTCTTAGGCACGCAGTGAAGGAGGGACTACATTAGTTAGGATATAGTAAGTGCTTTAAGTCTTTTAAGTGTACTTTTAAGGATATTGGGATGAATTCTCATGTTTCCAGTCCAACACTAACATGCCCTGTACGCACACAGCTCTAGTAAGGTATTTTTGAGAAATGCTACGCTGATTGCTTATATTAACATCTATCAAGAAGGATAGTCCTGTTTTTGTTCCCTAAAGGCTGAGGATTATAAAAGAATTAAGCAAATATCATAACTATTCTTAGAACAGAAAACTGTAGCCTGTCTGGCTTCTTGGGTTGATGCCTACATTCTGAAACGCTGACCTCCAAGCACGCGTGTCAGAAACATGTCTATTTTAGGTAACAACGAAAAAGTCTGCTTACCGTAAAACGTCAAAACGAGTAGACAGTGTGGCAGGAAAGAAAATGGCAAAACTTTTGGTCAGGAGAACTTGCGTGGAGTCCCAGCTCTGCTTCAGAATGATGGGTGACCTGAACCCTTCTGTGTCTCTTTTCCCTCATCTGAAAAATAACAGTGCAGGCGGGGGGTGGTAAGTGGATGATCTTCTGACCCTGACATTTTATGATTCTCTCACAGAGGCCTTTAATTGTGGCTTTTGGGAAGATCACATTTCCATAAATTGACCTGCCAGCCTGCATCAGGCCACGAACATGAAGACATGTAAATAAGGCAACGGGCAGAAATTAATTCTGCGGATGACTGTGGTAGAATAATTTCTCTCCTTGAGAGAAACATGGTGGTTGGTTTTAGAACACATCTTAATTACCAGCAAATTGGGTTTTACTGGAAGGTTTCTGAAGAGCTTGGTGACTCAGATTCCAACCATCTTGAAAATGAACACAGAAAATCACCTGTTCCTAACTGCATTTGTGATTTCTCCTGGACTGTGAAATATTAAAAATTCATATGTTGGCCTTTTCCTTATTCACTTAGACATCTCACTCCTGAATATAATAGGTCACTGAGGGAGAAAGATGATTAAGATTTATTGTGTCCCTGCTCACGAAGTGTTGTAGCTGTGTTGTGTGTTGGGACTCACGGTACCTGTGTGACCTAACATAGCATCTCCTGCAGCAGATGCCAGGAACCCTGGTGGCACAGTGAACACACTTGGCTAAAGCACTGACCCAAAGCTGGTGGTTAGCAAACGCCAGTGCACAGGAGGAAGATGTAGCTGTCTGCTACTGTGAAATTAACAGCCTTGGGATCCCTGAGGGACAGTTCTGCCCTATCCTCTAACTTTGTACGGGTCAGAATCAACTCTGTGGAGTGAGCAGCAGTTGTGTGTGATGTCTTCATCTCCTGAAGGCTGCCTGAAGAGGGCTCTTCTCTGCCCACGGGGACAAGCTTGGTTCACAAGGACTAGCCAGAAATACACAAGAGCTATTTCTGTGGAAGCCACCCACAACCAATATCAGATGGACAGCTGGAGGATAAATATCCCAGCTTCCTTGGATTTGAGTGGGATGGCTCTGAGATGTGTGCTGTGCTCACCCACACAGGTCCCCGAGGGTTTAGCGCCACTTGCCAGCTGTGACAGTAGGTTTATAACACACCCTCTACTAGGTTTTATTATCCTTTTCTGTCCTACGTCTCTGTGTTGGTATTTTCTGAGATCACCTTCCAAAGAAAGCACTTAAACACAAATGCTTGTGTCAGGGTTTTCTTGGGAGAGTGGAATCCAAAATGAGATGTGCTCCAGATGTCTTTAGAATAAATTTTTAACACGATTCCCAAGAGATGAGGGCCTGTGGCTCAATGTGACTCCCGGTGGTTGGGCCCCAGCTGATTCTAATGCCCATCTCGGTTCCTCTGCCACAGAGCCTCTCAGCCAGAGATGATTTTGTATCTCAAGGAACACTTGAGAATGTCTTAGTAATGTTGGTTGCCACAGTTGGAGGATGCTTCTAGAATGTAATGAGTATATGCCAGGGATGCCGCTCTAAATTCTACAATGGACAAGATAACCCTGCACCAAAATGCTTATCCAGCCTAGGACAATGGCAGCAGGGCTGAGGTGGAGAAACGGCCCTCCCCTCAGCAGCGAGCCAGGTGGTCGGACGGCGGTTCTCTCGTGTGACTTTGTCTCTCACGCTCTGCTTCCAGGGCCAAGCTGTAGCTCAGCTGTGTTCCACCATCCCCAACGTGACTGTCTTCGGAACGGCTTCTACTTTCAAGCATGAAGCAATCAAAGACTCTGTGACCCATCTGTTTGACAGAAATGCAGACTATGTTCAAGAAGTGAAAAGGTAAGGAGCACCGTGTAGACCCGTCTCTTCTCAGTCTCAGTGGCAGGGGTGTTCCTTTGGAGGGGCCCATTAACAATGATTCTAAGAACACATGGCGGGCTTAGCGTTGGCTCCTGGCTGAATTGCTGTTAGCTACTGTAGAGTTGGTTCTGACACATGTGACCTCATGTACAACTAACAAAATGTTGCCCAGTACCATTTGATCTTTGCAGTTGTTGACTTGAGCCTGTGTTAATGATCATTGTGACGTTTAATGCCTTTCAGTGTAGGGGGCTCATTCTCCACAACTATACTGGATAATACTCTGGGCCAAATAGTTTACACTTATTAACTCATCTGATCCTCTCAATAGTCCTATTATTAGCACTACTTTACACAAGATAAAACTACAAGACAGATAAGTCATGTCCCCATCTAGTGTTCTGGTGAAGGTGTCTATTACATGCTGTAGCTTCCTCTTGACACCCAAAAGTTTACTTCTCACTCATTCATATAACCAAGTTGGTTGGTTGGTGAGTGACCCTCTGTGAGGAGATTCAGGGACTCTGGCTCCTTTCTTCTTGTGGTTCCACCATTCTCTTGGGTTCCATGACCTTTTGCTTCCACCACCTTCCAGGTAGAGCATGGAGGGCCATGAGTGGGAGGTTTTCGTGGACCAGTCTCAGAAAGAACACATAACAATCCTGCTCACAATGTGTGGGCAAGTCCTTAGTCACAGCTAACTGGTACGTATAGAGAATGGATGCAAAGCAGGCATTCTGATATCGAGATGCCTGCAAATAGGGCCTCTCTGAAAGGTGGAGTGTGAACAGAAGCCAGCTGTCCATAGATGAGGGGTGACAGGGCACACTGTATGAAGGAAGGGCTTCATGTACACATCTGTTGAGGAATAGAAGTATCCAAAGCTGGAAGAACTCAAAAAACATCATGGGGTCCAAGATCAGGATGTCCGGTTATCTGGTCCAAATATGGACACTGACAGAGGGACAGCTGGAGGCACGAGGTGAGGCTGAGAAAGAGCTGGGTCACATGCACATCAAGAGCTGGTCCAGCTAGGTCATGTGGACGCCACCCCAGGCATGACCAAGGGCCACCACAGGATTAAAGTGGCGGCATGATCGGGGTTCAGGCCATCACTGGCAGAGAGGAGAGGCTGGACAGAGGAGATTAGACCACTGGCAGTTGCGGTTTCCCTTTGGGATCTTTGCTTTATAATGTGAGCCTTGTTTCTCTTGCATTCCTGAGCTATTGATCAAGACCACGTGCATGTCAATACCGGGAATCCAATGGAAACCCAGCAGTGACCGTAGTTGGAGGTGCTTTGTGTGAGGGCCCCTGCTGCTGCTGCTCACGGTCAGCGCTCCTCCCAGCGCCAGGGCAATCCAGGGAGCCCCAGGGCCTGGGCTCCTCTGGAGACATGCCTCATTTCTTCTGCTGTGCTTTACTGCATTTCGCAGATACTGTTGTGTACAAACAGAAGGTGTGTGCCAACCCTGCTTCCAGCAAGTCTGCTGGCACCATCTTCCCAACAGCATGTGCTCTCTTTGTGTCTCTGTGCCTCATTTTGGTCATTCTCTCAACATTTCAAGCTTTTTCATCATGCTGTCGTGCATTTAATAAACTATGCTTTTTATATGGACTAAGAAACAACAACGACAACAACAGAAATAATGTGACTCCCTTTATTGCTGTAATTGCTTTATTGTGGTGGCCTGGAACTGGACCTGTGGTGTTTCCCAGGTGTGCCCGTCTTTCCTTTTCTAACACTTACTTATAAAGTACAAACATGTGAATGGTACAGTTGGCCACTTATGGCAACAACAACAACAACAAAAACGTAGATGACAGCCTTTTCTCCAAGATGCCTCTGGACAACTTGAACTATTACCCTTTTTGATGAATGCTACTCAGGGATGCCCAGGGCCATAAAAAGCTTGGCACACCCAAAAATCTGAAAGGAAATCAGTGTAACTGGAGAAAGGAGGATGTGAGAAGTGTAGGAGACAGGTCAGCTTCTCCCAGATCCCAGAATTAAGGCAGAAGAGGATAGAACTGCAGGGCAGGAAGCTTGGTAGTGTGAGGATGGCTTTTGACTGTTGTCAGATGCCATCAAGTCAAGTATGACTCCTGGTGACCCTGTGAACAACAGATCTGAATCCTTCCCTGTCCTCCTCCACCATGTATAGCTCTCTGATAGGCTGGAGCCCATGGTGACAATCACTGTGTCAATCTAGATTTGGTAAGTAGGGAAAAGATTTTTGGAAAGGAGTCTGCTAATGATCTGATATTTTGGATTTGTTTTTCCATTTTGACAATCGAGCTATGAATAAAACTGAAGGTTGTCTGACCATTTTCAGTAACCCTTAAAGGAGAGCTTTCAAGCTAGAGATGAGAAGTCCATTCTCAGGATCACAGCCCACTGGAGCAAGCTAGCTCTAAAGATTTCCCGATACTCACTGCTTTAGGTTCTCTTTAGAACCTAGGGGATGCTTTCTCCTTTTAATTTGAGCCCCTCAGGCAGGAGCCTGGGAAATTAACCATATATCTGCTGCTGGCACCAGAGTTTGCTCAGCAACCTCACTCCTTTAGAGTGGTGTCTTTTGCAAGAATTTTTTTGACTTAGATATGCATGCAAACCAAAACCCCATACTCATTACTCTTGAGTCAAGTTCAACTTCTGGCCACCCAATAGGGCAGAGCAGACTTGGCCACAGGGGTTTCAAGTCTGTACATCTTTACAACAGAAGGTGCTGCTGCATCATTTTCCTATAAGACTGATTAAAAAACTCCACACTCACTGCCATTCAGTGTGATTCTCATGCACAGCCCTTGGGCTTCTGAGGCTGTAAATCTGAATTGAAGAAATTGTCCCTCATTCTCTGGAGGAGCTGCTGGTGGATTTCTGCCCGCAGAGAGGCACCTCCTTTGGTTTAGAGGTGCATCTCCTCACCCACTAGGCCACCAGGGATCCCCTAGGAGCTGCAGATGTGCTCATTCCCTCCATCCTACTGATTTCCCTTAGGGAAACTCCCAGAGGGTGAGAGAAGCAACAGGTACAAAGCTGCCTGTTGCTGAGCCGACCGTTGCTTCTGCTTCATGGCAATGTGTGTCGACAGGTGGATTCCAGCATCATCTGCCGTCGTGAAAAGTCAGAGCCAGCTGCCACTACCAACAGAAGCAAAATGCTCTGTAGATTATGCAGCACCCACACGTTTGAGCATGATGCATCCCCTAAAAAATGATGAGTGTGAACATTATGTTGTAAAATGAAAAAAAAAAGAAAAAGACCCATGGTGGCCTGTTTCTGGAGTAAAGTGGAATGCCACGTCCCATCTGCGTTGCAGTCACAGATCTGTGCAGGTTAGTACTGCGTGCAGACGGAAAATGAAGAGAGAGCGAAGACAGTCAAGCTGCCCTTGTGTAACCAGCATGGAGATCAGAGTGATTCATCTTTGTGGATAACTGGTACCGTTCTGCCACTGGGCATGTGGACAAAGCAAAAGAAATGAGTGGGATAAGATGTCATGAGCTGAAAACCCTCTTTGTGAACCAACCATTCAGTGAGCCTTTTGAAGGTGCCTTGGCCTCAATTAGAACTGTCAAGGGAACGGGCGGGGGGGGGGGATACTTATGACACAGAACTTGCTTTTTCATCCCTCAGCCTTTTTCTTTGTTGGAGGTGAAGGATGACTACAGGTGAAACCAAGACAAAGTCTTAGCAGTCTAAATGGTGTGCATCTGCATGTAAGAGCTTAAGAAACCCAAAAAGATCAGAGAGGACCAAGGCAGGCAGCCCTCAAGGTTGCAACAATATCAGTAGAAAGAAGGAAGCAGGGAGGGAATCCCAGGCAAGGGGAGTGAGGACGGGGCAAGGCAAACAATAGCACACACACTTCTTTGGAGGAGCCCTCCCGGCACAATGATTAAGGACTCAGCTGCTTACAGAAAGGTTGGTGGCTCGAACCTACCCAGTAGGTCCATGAAGACAAAGAGCGGTTTAACCAGAAGCTCCGGTAAAGACTGTTGTTATTGTTAGGTGCCATCGAGTATAACTCAGAGCAGCCTTATCAACAGCCAGCTGGATCTTGGTCTACCCTCATCATCTACACACTCAAGCCCATTGCTGAAGTCCCCAGGTCAGTCCATCTCATCGGGGGTCACCCTCTCCTGCTCTGACTCTCCAGCTTTCCGAGCACGTATTCCTGTCCAGAGAATAGCCTTGCATAGATACATGTCCAAAACATGGCAGACAAAGCTTCACCATCTTTTCCTCCAAGGGGCACTCTTGACTGCATTTTTTTCCAAGCCATATTTATTCTTTTGGCAGTCCATGGTATTACCGGACCAACAGTCAACATTATGATAGATGGAGAAAGGAGTAAAGCTCTCCATGATTTTATCGTGCTTAGATCAGCAATCCCATTAGCAGTGCTTGAGAGTTCCAGTCTCTCCCCATCCTCTCCAACATTTATTGCGTGCTGTCAGTTAAACTTGCCTACTGCTACTCATTGTGGTTTTATTTTATCTCTCTGATGACCACTGATTTTGACCATTTCTTTGTGTGTCTGTTGGTCATCCAAAAGTCTTCCTTTATGAAAACTCTTTTCATGTCTTTGGCCCATTTTGTTATTGGAATATCAGTCAAGGAAATTTGAACTAAGACATGAAGGGATAGATGTACATCCATGTTCATATCAGTGTTATTCACAATAATAGGAAAATGAAAACAGCGCAAATGCCCATCAACAAACAAATGGATGGAGAAATTGTGACACATTCACATTATGCTATGTTATGCAGGCAGCACTAAGGAACAACAATTTCATAAAATGCTATATAACATGGGAGAGTCTAGGGAACATTATTCTCAGAAGGACAAATACTGCAAAAGACCATTACTCTAAAAATTGAAGGATAATTAATAAGATCTGTATAAATGTCAGAAGCAGAAATGAAAAGGGAGAAGGGGGCAGAAAAAAGAAAAGGGAGGAAATCGCTAGGATAACAGAATATATGGGTGGACAGAGGAGGGGGTGAAGGAATAGGAAAGACTCAGTGAGGATTCGGAAAGATGCTAACAATAACCATTGATCAATAGTAATTAATTATATACAATAAGTGCATACGAAAGATTGCATAAACACAGTGCACTCAAATGAAACACAGTGTAAACTAATTACTGTATGCAAACCAATAAAAATTTTTTCTAACCACCCCCAAACCAAATTCATTGTCATTGAGTCCAGCCTGAGAGTAACTCATGGCAACTCTTAAGCAGTTTTCCAAGGCTGTAAATGTTTATAAGAGCAGGCGGCCTCCTCTTCCTCCCACAGAACATCTGTGGATCCAAACTACTGATTTCTTTTGGTTAGTGGTGCAACAGAAACTCTGCTTTGCCATCAGTCCCCTGGGTAGATGTAGATGAAGGGTAAAAATGACTTCAAGTTGAGCAAACCACTAGACTCTATTGATAAAGCTCTTGATACCCGAGTTTAAGTTGGATTTTGTTCTAGACATGGAGTCCTTTGCAGATTTGAAGCAGTTACGAGCTGTAATGAAAAGTGAGTTCATAAAAACACTGCTTTGGCTGTCGCGCACAGGATGGATAAGAGAACGAACAGCTGGAGTCAAGGAAGCAAGTAACACGATTGACTGGCAAGGACGAGACCGAGCCAGTAGGCGTGCTGAAGGAGAATGGGCTCTTAGGGACAATGGAAAATGCTAGAAAATGAGAATCAGAAGCGGTAATGATTTCTTTCGGATGAGATTAATATAGCATGAGGGTGAGGCCTTTAGGAGGTGTGTCTAGCAGGTTAGGGAAATGAAGCCTGGAGCTTGTTGTCATGGTTTGTAGGTGCCATCGATGGACTCCAGCTCAGCTCACCACAGAAGGAAACTGCCAGATCCTGTGCCGTCCTTACTGTCTCCCCTGAGCTTAGACCCACTGTGGCAGCCACACTCCTGTTAAGAGTCTTGCTCTCCTCCGTGGACCCTCCACTTTTCCAAGCATGATGTCCTTCTCCAGGGATTCCCCCCCCCCCAAAAAAAAAGCATGCCCAAAGTACTGAGTCAAAGACTCATCATCTTTGCCTCTAGGGAGTATCCTGCTGCCCCTGACCCCAGACAGATGTGTTCTTTTGGCATTCTATGGCATATTCAACACTCTTCACCACACCGTCATTCAGAGGCATCAGTGGGAGCTTGATTAAGTGAAAACTCACTACCTTCAGGCATCTGCCAAGTGACTTCTAGGAGAGTGCCCTGGAAATTACGGGAACAGAAATGACAAGCAGTCCCAATGCCAGCAGAACACAGAATCCACAGAGGAAAGAATAAAATTGTAGGGAAATCTACTCTTTGTTCAAATGATTTGAGTCTACATTTCCCCATCAGAGCTGGGGCAGAGGACTGCAAGCTTAAAAAAGGCATGTGTTGTGTCAGAATCTATAATGCCTGGCACATAGTAGGTGTACTGTTCTTAGTCCTCTGTAGGATGCCTTCTGTGTGCCAGGCATGGCCTTGACCTGCTATGAGTCTACTGTGCATCAGGCACTGCACTTGGAATGTTATGCAAATCTGCTGTGCACCAGGCACTGTGCTGGACACTCTGAAGTATTCCATCTGCTTCATCAAGAGCATAAAGACAATGGTGGGAGCTCTGAAAACAAATGAGTTCTCAGAGATAGCGGCATTCAGGTTGAGAACTAAAGAAGAGGCAAGGATCTAACGGAAAATAAAAGTCACAGTAAAGTGGAATTAATTTCTGACAAGGTCAAAGGGTTTCTCTGCCAGCCAATAAGCTGTTGAAACCCAACACCACTCCAGAAGTTCATTACTGACCTGTGTGGATGGGAAGTGAAGAGGAGGCATTCACAATGGAGGGACAAGGGATTGAGGACAAAGAAAGAACAGACACAAAAGTCTTGGATCAGCAGTTCCAGAATATCTTGCTGCCAGATTTGGCCCAAAGAATCCCTGAGCCGGGGCTATTTGTGTTTGCTTTTTAAATCCGCAGAGATTTACAACAGCAGGAGAATGCAGACCTAGAAGCCACTGAATTTGGCCTTCTGCCCCTACGCTCTCTGCTCTTAGCAATCGTGAATCCAATGCAAAGTCAGGTTTGAGACCCACTGGTTTAATATATTGCGTTAATTCTCTGGCTCTGAACTTCCATGTGGGACTTTAGAGGACACACTTGGGCAGAGTAAGAGTTCTAAGAAGCCAGAAGTGGAACTGATTATTTTGGATGGGTCTCTGTGATGAACTGTATTCAGAGCATTACTTAAGGACTTGGTGAAGAGAAGCTGAGGGGGCTGGTTGGGCACTACATGTCTGAGCTGAAGTTCCTACACTTTGCTCTACCCTAGACTGTTAACTGATGTCACCCACTGGCCAGATCTTAACTACTTCAAACTTTGTGAAAGTCTTAAGAGTTAGACATATTGCTGCTAGGTGTAGTCAAGTCAGCTCCCATTCATAACAACTCCATGTACAGCACCACCCAGTTCTGCATGACTCTCACAATCCCTTCTGTGCATAAGCCCATTGCTACAGTCTCTGTGTCAGGTGTCAGGCTGTCTCATTGAAAGCATTCCTCTCTTTTCACTGACCCTCTTCTTTTCCAAGCATAATGTCCTCTTCCATAGACTAGCCCCTCCTGCTAACATTTCCAAAGTATGTGAGATGAATTTTTACCATTGATGCTTCTAAAGGAGCATCCTGACTATTCTACTTTTAAGACATATTTGTACTTTTTTAAAAAAAAAGTTTGTTCTTTTGAAAGTCAATGATATTTTCAGTGTCTTCACCAATACTACGATTCAAAGGCATTCAATTCTTCCATCTTTCTTATTCCTACAGTTCAGTCCTTCCTTATCTGTTGTCCAACTGTCCATGCAAATGATACAACCAAAAACACAATGGCTTGAGTCAGGCATGCCTTAGTCTTTGAACTGACTTCCTTGCTATTTTGCACTTTTTTAAAAATAATTTTAATGAGCATTTACAGAGATTTTGGATTTCCATTCATTCATTGCTACATTTCTCTCCCCGCCCAGCTCTCCCCTTCCCCTCCCCCAGTTTAAGAGGTTCTTAATAGCAGAATTGCTCAATGCAGTATATCATTTGATTCCTTCATGGCTACTTCTTTGGGTGTTGGTTGTGGCTCCAATGGAAATAAAATCCTTGGCAACGTCAATATTTTCTCCATTTATTATGATGTCGGTTATTTGTCCATTTGTGAGAATAAGAATTAGGTCTAGGAGAGTACGTCCACTGCCAAGGCTTTGCCTGTTTATTCCTACTTCTAAAGCCCTGAATAATCCTGACTGATGTAGGAAGGGAAAGTGATTGTTAGTATGACCTCTGACAGCTTATAGTACATTTCTTTGTCTTCTCAAATTTAGAATCTCTGCTGAAGGTGTGGATATCGTTTTGGATTGCCTCTGTGGGGACAACACTGGAAAAGGTCTCAGCCTTCTTAAACCACTGGGGACTTACATTTTATATGGTGAGTGCTGCAAAAACCAGGAGCATGTCCACAGACAGGGAATACTGCACGTGATCCTATAGATAAAACCTCTGAACAATGAAATGTAAGTGCTGGAATTAGGAGTGGTTCACTTTTTTCCATCTTTTCTATAAAATGGTTGTTAGGTTTTAAAATTTTTTTTTTAATTAATTTCAATGAGCATCTACAGAGATTTTGGATTTCCATTCATTCATTGTTGCATTTTTCTCCCCCCCCACCTCCAGTTCACTCTTCTCCTTGAAAAGCAAAAGAAAAACTCCTTCATTGGTAAAAACGGTTGTTAGTTGTTTTCAGTTATAAAAATAACATACATGTCTACTGATCCCCATGGATACTTCTGATTCAAAAAGTCATAAAGCAAGGCCAAAGACATGTCACCCAGATAGGTAGAACCCATCTTTAAAGGACTTGACCTATAAAAGATGGTATAGATGGAAAATTGTAATGGCTTCAAAGGAAGTTTAGAAAATGAGGGAATGGAGGGCTCACACTTGGGCAGAGAAGAGTGGCTAGCAGGTTGTATGGAGTTGGATTAAAGATGCAGTTGCAAATACAGACTTTCCTTTTGCTAACTACCTCTTTGTGTCCCAATCAAGATATACACCCTAATGAACAGAGCACATGTCTGCCCCCGCCTGCTGCTACGTCCACTTCAGTGCTCATGAGTAGGGGGATTTGTCAAAGACATCTAAGGTCAAGTTTCCTCTAGCCAGAGCCACTTCTCCTTTCTTCTTCTCTTCTCTTACAGGCATGTGCTGGGGATTGAATTGTGAAAAATAATTTGTTGCAAATCCTAATCCCTGTTCTTGCAGATATAATCACATTTGGGAATGGAGTTCTCTCTATTATGATAATGAGGCCTTATCAGTATAGGATGTGTATTAAACTGTTCGGTTTTAAGATATAAAAAGAGCAGGTTAAACAAAGCAGCAAGATGTACAACCAGAGAAGGATTGATGCCATGTGATGTTCACCTGGAGACCAAGGAAGAGATGTGGAAAGAGACAAGGGATATTTCCCCCCCAGAGTAGACAAAGATAGTCATTTCCTAGAGCTGATACCCTGAATTCAGGCTTCTGACTTCCTAAACTTTGAAAACATAAATATCTGTTTGTTAAAGTCACCTACTTTTGGGATTTTTATTATAGCAACATTGAGAAGCTAAGACAGTATGCAAATGGATTTAAATATTAGCATTCACAAAAATGAGAAGGCCACCTATGGAGCTAGGTGATACATTCCAAAGCAAAAGAATCCAGGGTTAACTAATGTTTGAGAAAATTGAGCCTTAGCTCTAGATAACACCAGAAAAACATGCTCGCTTCCCTTATTATTAACTGGTTAAGTTTATAAAATATTTGAAGGGTATAAAATATTGAAGAATCTCTTTGTTAAAAGATGATAGAAAGTTGAAGGCAACAGAAAAGATGATAGAAAGTTGAAGGCAACAAAGAGGGATAAACTTTCCATTTCTGGAATGTTCAGGTATTTTCAATAGCGATCTCCTCTTTAGAAGTGCTTGCAGATGAGTATGTTATTATTATGACTATTAAAATCATTGGTAAAAGAAGTTATGAGCATCAGTATAATATATTAGATGTGTGAGTAAATACAAAGAATTTCTTCATCCTTACTTAATAATTACCAGAAATTCCATTTTTTGCTTCAGCTCCAGGGTTTCGTTTTAGTGAAATTAAGCTTGATTATTTTACAAGTATTTAATTCATTGTATTGATTGTCTGATTACTAAGTAATTGAAACTTGGTATGGACATGTCAAAGTCCTCGCCCTATAAAAGAAGAGAAGCACTGGCCTACCAACTGCCTACTAGTTTATCTGAGCCAGCTAATTAAATGAAAATGTATATACTTTTTGCCACTGATCTCTAGTACTCTACGAAGGATATTTTCTCCTAAATATTTGCAGACAGGTAGAAAAGTCATTAAAGTGGCACCAGAATAGTCCCATCATGATAAAAGATCTCTTACACACCGAGAGATACTTAAAAAGTGATCTTTTCTAACCCAATGAGCATCTTAGGAAATCTACTGACTCCACCTCCCATCTGTCCACCGAATGTTGATTCCCCCAATTTTGCAAACCCCAGTTCCTCTCGTCCTTTGTCTCAAGTGACTTTTATCTTTCTACCTCACATCTCTGGGAGAACACCAGCCAGGACTTTGGAGATGGGGCTTCGTTCACAACACGGCCTTAGCTCCTGCATCTGTCTTTCCCTTCCCTTGTCGTCTTTTCTACCCATTTTTCTATCTGCTTAATTTGTAATGCAGCCCTCTCCTCCCCTGAGAGGCCAACCTTAGCTTCTAAAAATCCCAGCTCAGGTCAGACCCCCAGATCTACCACCTGCCTGAGAATTGGATCTGGAAACATAAAGTAGGTGCACACAGAAGCTCTCACTGGCCAAGAAGAGAACCCAAAAGCTGTTTCGTCAGTTTGTCATTTTATGAAAATGGTGATCTAAGTTTTTCTACATGTCCTTTCCCCCAGAGTGATGAGATCTTCACCTTGAGGAAATGACTTTTCCTTTGATCCAATGCTACTTGGCTAAAATAGTCAAAACGGTCTTCTCTTACATGTCTCTCATTTTTCTGAGGTTGGATTACTTTTCTTTCAAAGCTCTTGCCAGTTATGAGCCAAACAACAGCCGTACTTCCTTGAGTAACAAGAGCGATGCTACTTTTTCAAATTATCAATAGCTTACTCTGAGAATTCTCCATTCACAGGTTCCTCCAACATGGTGACTGGGGAGACCAAGAGCTTCTTCAGCTTTGCCAAGTCAGTAAGTATCTGCATTGTCCTGTGGGGGATCCGTGGTTTGCATGTCGTCAGTTCTTGTGTAGATTCATTGACCTACCGTTGTCTGTCCTTCAGCTGTGTCATTCATTAGCCATGAAGTCTACCCTACATGCCCACTCTGCACCATGACCAGTGGGCAGGGCTGTGACAGGGCTGCTTGGGTCTAGAAGAAGCAGAGGTGTGGAAGAGTCAGTGAAGCACCTCAGAAATTGCTTGAGTGTTGGAGCTTTTAAACCTTGGTCAAAAAAGAAACAGAGTGCTGGTGCATTTTATTGGTCCTAGGAAAAGAACAGTTTTCAATAAGGTTATCTCCTGGCCATATCTCGGTTCTTGAATTTCCTTTGTCTTCCTAACCTGTTGTTCTCCTTTGCTCTCAAGGTCGGAGACCCTTTAAAAGGTTAGGCATAGTACATTACATATTGGACTGCTAACTAACAGGTCAGAAGTTCAGATCCACCAACTACCCCCCTGGAGAGGAGTGGACAGTCTCCTCTTGCCAAGATGTGTAGCCTCAAACCCAATGGAGGGTTGCTATGAATCTGAATTGACTTGATGTCAGGGGGCTTGGGGTTTGGGCATGAGGTAAGGGGATCCCTCAAGACAAAGGCAAGTTTGTCACCCACTCTTAGATTATCAGGCTTCTGAATATGAGGCCAGTCAAAGTCTTCAGTTGGCCATTCACCCCAGTGAGAACCTGCTCGGATGGACAGTCTTCCTTTGAGCTCTACTTGCTAGAATTGCTCTCCTTTAGACTTGGATGTTGATTTTTGTCCCATCACAGCTGAGACTTGCTGCCTCTGGCAAGTACTTGCATTTAACCCTATTCCTGTGTTTGGAACTTCACAAGCATTTTCCGAGCCCTTTCTGTTTGCAGTAGTGCGAGGCCATGGGGAATCCCAGTGGAGGAAAGAGGCACCCCTGTGGTCCTCATGGTCCACAATCTCGTGAGACCGGCAAACCTAAAGTAAATAAATACAACTGGTGAGACCTTCCAGTTTTCCAAGCATGATGTCCTTTACCAGTGAAAGAGGGGAAGACGGGGAAGACTCTCAGTGAGGCCCTCAACAAGATGGATTGACACATGGTAACAAGATCTCAAGTGGGGCAGAGATGAAAGGATGGCCCAGGATGATGGGGCAGGGTTCAGAGGGGTTGGTGACTGATTACAGGTAACACCACCACCACTGATGGGCTGTTGTCAGTGGCTGTCAGTTTTCTCCAGGCAATAAAAGCAGACTGAGGGGGTGCAGACATGTTAACGAAGGAGATGAGGGAAAGCTGTGCTGAGGGTTGGGAATGCCTCCTAAGTGCAGCATTGGAGCACGGAGGACTTGGGAGCCTGTGCCTTTAAGACAAGCTCTGTCCCACTCACAGCTGATGTGTCGCTCTTGCTGTAATTAACGGGGATGTTGACAGACTGCTGTGGGTAGCCAAACTGGTGCCAAATTATATACAATTGTAAGAAGTGTTTTCCCTTTCTCCCCTAAAAGCGCAATCACAACACACAGTGTTAACGAAATAATTGCAGCGTGTCCGAGACCCATGAAGGCGTTCATAAAAACAGACCCAGTGGGAGCCGAAACAGACGCCAATTATAAGAATGCTTTGCTTTGTAGCGACAGGTCCAGGATGAAGACTTTGCTCTTTCAATATTAATAGATCAGTTAGAAGTAAATTGGAGAGCAGGCATCTTTTGTGCTAAGGAATGGAACGAGGACGTGCTCTCAGAGGTTCTGGAAAGGCAGTGTCTTTGCTGAGTTCAGGAGATACGTAGAAATGAAATACTCATCTGGAGGCACGCACTCAATTTTTCTCAGCGATCTTAATTGCCCTCTGCTTTTATTAAAACTCCCACAGGGCCTGTGCTTCCTCTGTCAAATGTGCCATTTGCTTGCAGACGGTAACAATGATGATAATTAACGGGAGAAGGTAACCTTTAAGCGATCAGTCTCAATCTGATCCGGAGAACGTGTTTACTCTCTCAAAAGCACCTTCTAACTTGAGGTGATAACAAAAGTCAGTCGTGAAAGGACAAATACGGTACAGGAGCGTTATTATAAAAAGCTGAAGAAAGGTTTACACACAGAATCATTCTAGTGTGGTTACCAGGGAAAAGAAGGGAGAGACAGAGTTTTGAAACTGAGTAAATAGATAGTAGAGACTTACTGAGACGGTGAAGGGGAAGGGAATAGGATATGGAATAAGTGGATAATCAGATACTATGGGTATTTTAATTAACGTTATAAAACAAAATATGTATGAGTGAATAACTTGCCAGTCAACCAATATGCTTTGTAAACTGTCATTCACACTATGATTAAACAAACATAAACGAATATTTATTTACTGTCTCCTTGGTATTAGAGCACTCACTTTACATTTGCTCCTTAGGACAATGTGTGAAGTACAGGGGGAAACTGAGGCACAAAGAGTCTGACGTATCTTACTCAAAGTCAGCTGGGAAGTGGCAGAGCTAAACCTCACCTGCAAAGTTCTCTTAACTATGAGTGGGTTATAATTCTAAATCCAGCAAACATTCTTTTTTACATATTCCCAGGTGTGGTACAGATACCCTGAAAATGAAGTGATTGTACTTTTCTCCTGGCTAAATGGATGGCTTGTGTTTAAGTAGGATCTTGTGTTCTCCTGGAATGCTCTTTTTGGAACGATTTGTCCTCATTCTTGTCCTCTGTCTGCCCTACACTTCTTTTCACACATTAAAAAAAAAAATCTATCACTCAATCAAAACTTTTATTACTGAGAACCTGCACAGTCCTTTTCAGAAAGAAGCAGGATGTAAAGAAAAAACCAGTAGATAACATGAATATCACATGTTCCCAAGTGCCTATCACAATCCTCGATGCTTTCTAATTAGAACTGCGTGGAGTGTTTCATCCCTTAGAACCCTCCAGAAACCAGAATTTTGACTGGCTAAGCTATTGCCTGAACCCACGGAAAAGCAATGAGATCAGAAGAAAGCAGCTGGAACCCCATTTCTGTAGGCTGCTGACGCATCTTTTTATGTATTTGATGTCTGAGAAGAGACGAAGAGCTGAAGGAGACAGCTGTGTTTAGCAGCCTTTGCATCCATCCCGCTTCTTAGTCTTGGGGCCCCTGACATTTGAGTTGGATCGTCCTTTGTCTTGAGGGGCTTGTTTAGCATTGGCCTGGCATCTCATCACTCTCCTCTCTGAGTCCTCACAACCAGAATGTCTCCAGGTATTACCCGATGTAATGGGGGGGGGCGTCATTTATAAAAGCTTAATTGAAGCTTTGAAGAGTAGAGCTAACCAGTGACCAGCTAGAACTCCTTCAACTGCAGCCCTGCGCTCCTACTGCATCCACAGGTTTGCATTATGTGGCATTGGCCTGAGCCTTTAGTAGGTCTTCAGAGGCTGTAGACTGTACTGTAGGAGACTGCCCATCTTTCTCCTACAGAGCAGCTGCTGGATTCGAACCATCTGCCTTTGGGTTGGTAGCACAACTCCTTACCCACTGCACCTCTGGGTAATAGGGGAATATCCCTTCCTGGTCTCCTGTAACCTCATGATGTTTTTGTCTTCCAGTGGTGGCAGGTGGAGAAAGTGAACCCCATCAAGCTGTATGAAGAGAACAAAGTCATCTCGGGGTTCTCGCTTTTGAATCTGCTCTTCAAACAAGGCCGTGCGGGCCTCATCCGAGGAGTGGTGGACAAACTCATAGCACTTTACAACCAGAAGAAGATCAGGCCCGTGGTTGACTCCTTGTGGGCCCTGGAGGAGGTAAGAGTGGGTTGGGGGTTTTTTCCCCCCCAAGCAAATGGCCTTTTCCAATATCAGGTCTACTGCGGTATCTACACAGAGTCTTTTATCACACTGTTTTGCTCTGGGTTTGCTGGTTTTAAATTTTTTTTTTTTTTAATTTTGTGTATGTGTGTCTGTGTACCGTCAGATCAGATCTGACTAGTACAGGAGGAGATTGTCCCTCCTTTCCTGGCAGAGCATCTGGTGGATTTGAACCATGCATCTCTGGGATTGCAGTGCAGCTTCTTGCCACTAGGCCACCAGAGCTCCCCTGGTTTGCTGGTTTTAAAAGAGACAATGTCTTGTAGGCTAGCCCTTCAGAGATAGGCAGTACACCAAGAGCCTAGTATCAAGTGGTTTCCTCACCTGCCTGAGTGCTTGCCCTTCTCAAGCAAGCCCCCACACGGTGACAGATGTGTAAAATTCACCTTGATTCAAAGACAATGTGTGCATAGCTTCGCCTTGTGCATATATAAGAGTCATGAGCAGGGCAGACAGTGGCTCAGAGCTTGGAGTCCCTGCAGGACGTCGTCAGCTGTCATGAAGGGTGTTGCTATTGCTGCTAAATTGTTGGCTTGAATGCTGCATCGTAACCTTCCTTTAAGTGCTCTGCCAAAAATTCCAGTCTTTGCAAGCGTCTCTGGGTCACAGAAAAAGCTGAAGAACGCCTCCTGAGGCCTTTAAGGATACTGAAATGTGAAGTGGTTGTATTGATTGGCTTAGACAGGAATTTCATGGAGGAGGTAGAATCTAGAAAATTCTCCAGGATGGGGCAAGATTTGCGTTCTTGGGAATTCAATGGTGATAGCCAGCCATAGGTGAGGAGAGACGGCTGGGGTTTTAAGAAGCATTTCACGAAGGAGTCCTTCTAAGTTGGGTCTGGTAACTTTGGCTTCAAGGATAAATTATGTATATTATATTGAAATAGATGAGGGAAAGAACAGATTAGAGGTGATAAATGATTGAGTATTATGGTTAGCACAGGAATCCAGAATTAAGGTTGCATAGAGAAGTGTACTCAGGGTGG